ACTAGGAATAGCAAGGAACTTTAAGAAAAGGTATCTACAAAAACCTATGCAAATATCAAACACAATGGTGAAATGTTGAAAACTTCCCCTTTTAAGATGAGAAATAAGACAAAAATGCCCATTATTCACCCTCTAATCAAGTGCTAGGTAATGAAGGCAAGGAAAAATAGATATAAAGATTAGAAAGAAGAAATAAAATGGTCATTATCTGCAGAAGATGTAATTGGTTACTTAAAACATCTAAGTCATTAGAATAAGTTTAGCAAAGTTATTAGATAGAAGATCAATATACAAAATCAATATGCAAATAAAGTTTATATTTTAGTAACAAACCATAAGTAAAATGTCAGAAATACCATTTATAATAGCTTAAAAATACCAAATACCAAGAAAATGCACTTGAAAGATACACAAGATCTCTACATACAAAATCATAAAATACCTGAGAAATTCAAGATATAAATAGAGAAATATACACAGTTCATAGGTTAGAAGATATGTTATCGTGAAGCTACCAATTTGCTCCACATTGAGTCAATGCACTTGCTAACAAAAATCCCAATCTTCTTGTTGTTGTTGGTAGAAACTGACAAGCTGATTCCAAAATTTGTAAACACAAAGGGCCAAGAATAGCCAAGAAACTCCTGAAGGAAAACAAATCGACAAGATTCACTTTACAAAATAGAACATTTTACAAAGCTAGAGTAATTTAAACAGTGTTAATTGTCTAGCTAGGGTAGCTAGAAAAATTAAGTAATTACTCCAGCTGGAGTACTTAAAACAGGTACTGAACTGTCTGAAGGATACAGAGGGAGTTAGAATTAGATTCACATATATGATTTATAATACAAGTAGCATTGGAGAGCAGCAGAAAGCAGAAAGGGTGGTCTTTTCAATAAACAGTACTAAAAATTGAAAATATCTTGATATTCCATGTAAAAATAAATTCCACATAAACTGTATATCTAAATATAAGGGGTAGAAAAAAAAATAAAGATTCTAGAAGTAATGCAGGAGAGTATCTTCATGATCTTGCTGGGGGGGAGGTTTAAATTGGCAAAAGAAAGCAAATCATAAAGGAAATATTAAGTTCAAAAGATACCATTAATATATTGAAAAGACAAGTAACAGAATGGGGGAAAATATTTTTAACATTTAAAACTAACAAAGAGGACCAAAGAAACAAAAACTTCACAATAGAAAAATGAGCAAGAGGCTTGAAAAGGCAATTCATAAAACTAAACATCCAAAGGATAAATCAAGTGAAAAAGTGTCCATGTTCATAAACAACCAAAGAAAGGCAAAGTAAAACAATAATGAAATAGCATCTCTCTACCAGCATGGCTAAAATTAAGTAAATTGAGAAGTCCAAGTGTGGGCAAGGATGTGAAAGAAATTGGAACCCTCACATATTGCTAATATAAGTGTAAGTTGTCTAACTTTTGGAAAACTTTCTCAAATTATGTACTGAATGTGAATGTATGCCTAACTTAGTAATTCACTCCTTGGTATATGCTGAACAGCAATACGTGTGCAGTGCACTAATAGACATTTACAAGAATGTTTAGAGTTGCATTAAAATGGAAACAACCCAAAGAGGTTCCTAAAGTTAAATCGATAAACTGCAGTATATTCTTAGAAAGGAATATGTCAAAACAACAAAACTACTGTTACATACGGTAACAGTATGGATAAAATTTTACCTAACATGGATAAATTTCAAAAACTATGTTAATTGAAAGAAGGAATAAATAAAAGACTACTATTTTATGGATCCATTTGTATAGAGTGGGAAAACGAAACTATCACATGAGAATAATGATTACCATTGGAGAAGAGGAAGAAGGCAATGACTGGGAAGGGTTATTTGGGGGTCTTCAGGGCACTGGTAGTTTTCAGCTTCTTGATCTGCAAACTAGTTAGAGGTATTGGGTTTGTTATAATTCCTTGATTTGTACATTTATATTCTTTCCATTTTCTGAAAGTGTATTATACTTAAAAAGTTAAAAATGGAAGAGAAAAACACATCAAATCAATGATGTATTTTACAACTATTCTATTTTCTTAGAACAGAAAGAGTACTATGTAGACATTTAAAAATTATGTGTAAGTATAGAGAAGTTACTGCTGTTTGCTTTAGTCTGCTTTTAATTTTTGGATAAGAAATCCTTTAACTCTTGTATTTTAAAGATGATTTTCCATAGTTTCACCTAATTCTAGGTTAAGAGCTTTTTCCTCAGTACAAAATTACACAAAATATTCCTTGTCTTGTAGTATCTATTTTCATCAAGGAGAAGTCTACTTTTGGGTGATATATTAGGTAATAATTATAATAAAAAAGGTTTGTATATATAGTCCCTGAAGTAAGTCGAACCAAATATTATTATATCCATTATGTATAAGTGAAAAACCTCAGGCAATTATAAAATATATAGTAATTATTCACACATATCTTCTGACTCCCACATTTAGCATGATTTCTACTATTCCCTTATATTGGAGTCAGAAGAGATAGGGATATAAATTCTGGATTTCCCAGAAACTGTGTACACAGAAAACCTTAGTTTCTTCCTCTGTAAAACAAAGATAAACATCATCTATTTTACAGAATAGAGAGGATTAGCAGTAATGGATATATAGTCATTGACCCACATTACATATTTCATAAATGAGAGCTCTATTATATTCTTTTGTTCTATTATTATATATATATATATATATATATATATACACACACACACACATACACACACATATACTTAATAGTTTCTAAGGATAATTTTGGAGCTTTTCAAGTGTATCAGATAATATATAACTTGGTTTGTGGTTGGTAGATATGTAATAAACCAAAGAAGAAAAAAAATACCCAACAATATTCTATAAGCTGTACTTTGGGAGGCTAGGAGGCATGTAGTGAGAAAAACTGACATATTAACAGGGAGCATGAAAGAACAGAATATTTGAAAAGAAACACATTACTGCTTTTAAGGGTATACTGTAACTTGTATGTAGTAACTCATTTCCAGTTTAGTCTGTTAACTGGATGTCAAAGGGCAATAATAAATACTTCTGAAGTGAGATATCCTAAGTATTTTACACACATCTCGTTTAACTCTTGACCATCTGTAGACGGACACTATTCTTAAAACCAAAACCACTAAGTCTACATTACATTAGGTATAACTATAAAGAGACTAAGTAATGAGTCACACAAACTACTTTCATATCTGATATATAACTTATTTTAATTATATTCAGTTGTTCTAGACACCACAATAACAAAAATGACTGTTGCTTTCTGTATTTATCCTATTTCCAGAAAGTAATTATAAGAAAAACTTACTTAGGAGCCCTTTCTCCTATACTCCCTGATGCAACATTTCTTCTGAAAATTAAAAGAGTAATATAGCAACATTAAATAACAACAACAAACAACCCTCTAACCCATAGATGCTTTTAAAACAACACTTTAAAACATATTCACCCCCACATAAAAAACCAAATCCATCCTCAAGCCCCAAAAAACCCACAACCATATAACATAAGTTTCTCATCAAACAAATGTCAAAAAAACTAAATATACCATCCCATTAAATTAAAATGAATGGCTTATAAGTGGGTAAGAGTAACTGAGGATAAAGAGCACATAGGACAATAATTACTTAGGACTTCAAAGAATACTTTAAATGAAGTAGGCCGTATAGACGATGGCAGTTTTATCTGTGAGAGTACATCAAAAATCAAACAAACAAAAAAAACAGCACTTCAAATTGTTTTGTCATGAGTTTCTATTCTTTCAGTACTTTAAATAGGATTTAAGTGCTAAGTTTTTGTTTCATCCTTTCCTAAAATGGATGCGGCTAGTGATTGCTTTCAAGTAGCTTACATGAAGGCTGTTGGTATGGTTTCATGGCAAGAGGTCTTTAGGAAGAACCTTGCAATTGCAATTACTAGCTGAAAACTAAAACAAAGAACTTGGGGCACTGAGTATGAAACAGGAGGAGGGGGTGGTGTATCACCAAGTAGTACATTTAGCCATTTGTGTTTTTGAGTTAAGCAGAGAGAGCAAATTAATTATCTTATTAATACTCTTATACAGTAAAGACAAAACACTGACTAACCAAAATATGGAATAAATTTTCAGATAAGTAACTTTTTTTTTTGATTAAGCAAGAAAAACACACTCGTAACAGCTGTTTCACACCAGGAATTATGCTAAGCACTATGAGAATACAAAGCTTCATCAGACAGTGACCTTAAACTACTTACTGTCTAATGGGAAGATATGATAGGTGTCAAAAGGAACAACACAGTAGAAAGTAACAAGTCATCATAAGAGTGGTTAAAAAAAAAAAAAAAAAAAAAGACCCTACCTTGAAAGATCAAAGGAAGGAAATGACTCCACAGAAGGGCAACTTGAGATATTTGGGATGGACTGAGACACATGGGATGGATTAAAACATAGGAGATGAGACATTCCACTGGGAGGGAGCAATATCAATAATGACTGGTAGGTGATCCTTCATGTAAAGTATGTTAACTGCACGTGAACCCAGATAACACAAATCAAATCCCTAACCATCGCCCTCAAATAGCAAAACAGAAACAGAGTAAAAAAATATTATTTGAAAAAATTCAAGTGTCATTACATTTCAAGAAAATTTCAAAAAATGTTCTCACCAACAATTTAAAAGAAGCTTATTAGAAAACACCTCTACAGTTTATTATATTGTAAAATAAACTAAGTATTTTAAAAATAAAATATGTTGACATTCAACTACAACTAAACAATAAGAGGGAAAAGAAAACATTTAATCTCACTAGTCACACCCCCACCACTTAACTTTGCAGCAGGAATGATGCTTTAGTAGAAAAGAATGTTAACACAACAAGAAAACTGAAAACAAAGAGTAGAGAATGGAAGTCTTTATAATTGATTAATAAAAGTATGTATTTACAAAGGAATTAAAAAGGAGAACAAAGCCTCCTGTGTAACTTACCAACATAAAACGAGCAGTTGGAATGCAATAAACTTTCAGTCCATAAGCGACAAAGTTCACTTTCAGTTAGAGCTTCAACTCCATAACAAGCTTGATATTCCACTTTGGGTAGTACATAAACTGGAAATTGCTGAAATGCAAGGTTATACTTTTTCAAAGCTCTATTAATTTACTTTTCATAGCAAATACATATCCCTATATAGTTCTGCTGCTTCCAAAATACTTTCATGTAATCTTATTTCATCCTTTCAGATATAGTAGAATTCGGGATGGACAGATAAGATATCCTGAACTAACAGCTACCCGCCCTCCCACCTCAACCCCAAATCCACATACCTCACCACATATGCACACATTCTAATCAGGAAATGTAATTTAGAATTTATTGGTCAGGACACTAAATAGATTAAGTAAAATAACTGTGGCAATTATTGGTCTAAATGACGATATGCAAAGAAATACACGATTATGAAATAGTATGTTAGTCCTATTCACTGTGCTCATGTTATCTCATTTCTGTCAAAGAATATTCTACTCTTGATAGTAGTCTCTTCACTTCCAGCTGCAGAAGAAGAAATACATGATTCAAAAGATTTATTCAAAGTGAAAAGGCTAGTTAGTACTTTTGAAATTATACTAAGCTGTCACTATTCATATACTTGAAAATATTTCATAAATGTTTCAGAATTCCTGATTTTCAGAAAGTGGCAAATTTAGTGAACTTGGAACAATGATGGTGGAAAGAACAATTCAAATCCAGTAAAATTTTGTTAACAGTAAGCTTGGTTCATATGATTACCTTTGAATGTTGTAAAACTCTTAAAGTCGTGTTTCTTGGATTTCAAAGTGCATATGCATAACCCGGGGAATAATTTTGTTAAAATGGAAAATCTGAGGTGAAGAACAAGGTTTTTCTTTTTTTTTTTTTTTTTAAATTGCAGTATAATTAACAGTGTTTTATTAGTTTCGAGTGCACAATATTTCAATAATTCTATACCTCAGGTTTTGCATATTTAATAAGCTATTGTTCCAGGGGCCAAACCTCAAATACAAGGCTTCTACATATCTTCACAATTAAAAACAAATTAAACTGTGATAAAGATAATTTTACTGCTAAAAGCATTTTATTATATAATAATTCTTCAGCAATTGGTAATCCACATTTACAGTTGCAACAATAAGCTAGAGATAAGGAAGTGGAGGTCAAGAGCGTTTAAGAAATTTGCTCAGGGACACAGTTTACAGCAGAGTTGAATAATTGATAAAGAAGATACTCTTTTTGGATCATGAGATTTTCCTTGATAACACTTCCATATCTTTAAAACTAAGTCCTGAATCTGGTTTTAATTTCTATATGTATTCTACTGCCATCTCCAGGAAGCCAAGGGAAAGAAAAGTCTGAATATTTTATGGTATTATTCCAAAATTAAAGTGAAATTTTAAATACAAAGTTTTCAAACTATAAAAATTAAATTTACTAGTGCACCTGGATGGCTCAGTCAGTTGAGTGTATGACTCCTGATTTTGGCTCGGGTCATGATCTCATAGTTTGTGTGTTTGATCCCTGTACTGGGCTCTGTGCTGATGGTGTGGAGCCTGCTTGGGATTCTCTCTCCCTCTCCCTCTGCCCCTCCTCTACTCATGCGCATGCATGCACTCTCTCAAAATAATTAGGTAAATTAAGAAGAAATTGAATTTGCTATTCTTTTCTCCCTTGAATAGTAACTCCTGTTCTCCCCAACTGAAAGCTTTTCTTCGTTGTCTTCCAATTACTCATATAAACTTTTTAAACTTTTAGATAAATTTCGAAATAGATATTTCATAGCTTGTATGAGGTTGAAGAGACTTCTAAGTATTTTACTTTTAAATTTTTTAATGTCTTTTTTTTTATTTTGAGAGAGAGAGAGAGAGAAAGACAGAGTATAAGTGGGGGAGGGGCAGAGAAAGAGGGAGATGCAGAATCTGAAGCAGGCTCCAGGCTCTGAGCTGTCAGCACAGAGCCTGCCGTGGGGCTCGAACCCACGAATTGTGAGATCATGACCTGAGCTGAAGTCAGATGCTAAACCGACTGAGCCACCCAGGCGCCCCTAGAATTCTAAGTATTTTAAAGCTTTATCTAAACAAGTTGGTTTTGTTTTTTTTTAATATTTTTTATTTATTTCTAGGAGAGAGAGAGAGACAGCGTGAGCCAGGGAGGGTCAGAGAGAGAGGGAGATACAGACTCTGAAATTAGCTCCAGGCTCTGAGCTGGCAGTCAGCACAGAGCCCGAAGCGGGGCTCGAACCCACGAACCGCGAGATCATGACCTAAGCGAAAGTCGGACGCTTAACCGACTAAGCCACCCAGGTGCCCCTAAACAAGTTGGGTTTTAAGTAGTAAATATTAATGAGAATGCTTTCTTACCTAAAGTTTAAATAGCGCTACTTTAAAATTTCTCAAAATTGATTAAATTCCCCGACAATTTCTTCCTTAATAACACCCTCTTCTCTCTTATCCCTCAATTCTTGTTTATATATTACTTGTTTACTGTGTTTCTAGGATATAAAACATTTGGGAGAAACAGATAAGTAAGACATGATTCCAAGGGAAATGCATTGTAGTAGGGATTTAAACCATGTGTACTAAACTATTATAAAAAGTACAATATGATAAACATTCACTGAAAATTTTAAAATTTTACTCTGGGTCTGCATAATAAAAAATACATGGCTCCTATTTACATATTATTTGGGGCTCGACTGTTTTGATATATTGTGATGAAGAGTAAATTCTGTCCCATAAGATTGTGTCTCAACATTTACAAATTGCATTTTAGTCAAGTGAATGACCATGTCCTTAACAGGTTGTCTATTTAAAGAATTAATTCAGTACCCAATATATCCCTAAGCTATTCTTTCTTAAGAGATACTGGCCATCAATAGTTTCTAACTGCTGTGAGCTGGCAGATCAATACAAAGTGGCATGGGTTCGCAGAGTAGAAAATGAAAGAAACGGGGTTAGCTCCCAAATAAATCAGAGAGATAGCAAGTAAAAATTAGAGAAATAAAGCACTGAAAATACAGTCCACAGCACTGACACATATTTAAGACATTCATGCTATGACGATTAAATTGATCACAGCTAAATATACATGAGATGGAAAATAATTAGCAAATAAAGTAAAATCTTTTAATTTAGAGAACATTAGCCTTTATTTAGAAGCAGACTAAAATAAAATCTTTAGTAGTCTGTCATTCCTTGACTTTCTCTTATAAAAAACACTACTATATAATTCAAAACCATTTGGTTTCTAAAATTTCATGTGTGAACCACTGATGAAAACCAAATTAGGAAGAATTAAAAAATTTATTCACAGTCTTCCTTCTATTTAACAAAGGATAACAGTATCATCAAGCAAAAGATCCTCCAATTCCAATGAATTCTAGTGGACAAAGATCTTAGATCCTGATGGGTTAGTTTTAGAGTTTTTTCTTAACAGACTCTGCTATTGGCAGTTTGGAAAGGTTAGCATTTCCTCTCCCTTTCTTTTCTTTCTTTTTCTTTCTCCTTCCCTACTTCCTTCCTTTCTTTCTCTAGTTATTTCTTAATATGACAAAGTAGTAATCAGGGACTTGATCCACAAGGTTCAATGCTGAAACATCACTAGTTTTGATCACCTGATTCCTAGCCCCAACTATAATGACATTCTAAAGTGATCACTGAGGATTCTTACTGGGTAGTAGGTTAGAAAGCAAGAGACAAAGACATCAAAATTAATACACACACACACACACACACACACAATGACAAACGTATACAACAGAAAAAATTCTCTTACATCACTATAATCAGTTATAATACAGAGGCTCCTCTTTACCAGAATTCAGCGGTCACACACACAAAAATCTAAACTGAACGAGAACTTCAAGCATCAAATACAGAAAACTGTTTAAAAAACCAATTACTCAAACTTAGTAAGAATTTTATAACTGAAAAAAAATTTTTACATAAACCCCCAAGAAAACCCCCCCCCCCCCCCCCCCCACAAAAAAGAACAGAGAAAAAAGAAGACATTTGGCCTTCTAACAACTCTGGGAAGACTTCAAATGTGTGTGAAACCCCATCTTTCAAGATGTGGGACTTCTAAAATGAGTCAAGAAGATCCCCAAAGTAAGAGAGAAATGGGCTAATAAGTTATAATGGAATTCCAAATTCACAGAAAGCTGGAATATATATGTGCCAACCTAGGTCAAATTCATGATGGTGCCATTTTTTTCATCAAGTTTATAAATTCCATGCAAGAATGTTACCAGCATTCATGAATTTTATATTTAACACTTTCTATTTTCCCTTATTAAAAGTGCTTTCTATATTTTACTAAAAAAACAACAAACAAAAAGACCCAGCTCAATCTGGAAAAATTCTATAGTGACCAGCAATTTAAAATGAAACTTCATAACAAGGACATGTTAAGTATTTGTTGATTACCTACTTATACTACCACATCCTAAGTCCCCAAGTGACAACTTACTCTTCTGATTTTCTTCCGTTTTTTAGAACGTGGTCTGGTCTCTATCCTCTGGACACTGCATCGCACAAGTAACAACAGGTCTTGCAGGCTAAATAACTTGTAAACAAAATTTCCTTCCTGAGGAGCTACATATTCTGTTGTATCTTCAACATAGTCCTGAAGTTCATATGGCAATCCTTTAAAAATAATTATATTTCTCATTTTTATTTTAAAATACATTAGTTCTTTATCCATAATTCAAAATAAAACAATTCCATTATCTATTTTTAGGTTTCTGTCAACTTTAACTTTCTATGTCTTCTGAGTTGAACATTCACGGTAGTACTATTTCTGTTTACTTTTACGGGAACTGCAGCCAAGAGCTGAAGTCACAGCTTTAACTACTACCTTCGCTAACCCAAGGCAAAGTTTAAATTAGTGAAACAACATATGAAGCAAGAAGAAAAAAAAGCTGTAAAAAAAAAAGTGATGTTTCTCCTAATCCAGGCAGAGCTGAGGTGCAGCTTTATATCTATCTCCAAATGTGAAAAAGTATAAAACTCTGGTCTAATACACCATGAATTTGTAAATTCTGAACTTATAAATGTTGACAATTATTTTTGATCATTTCCCCTTCATTCATTCTAGTGAGCCGTATCACCTGAAGCTACTGTAGCCACTGTATATGATGGATAACCAGTAGACTGAAAAATGAAATCTCAAAGACCAGGTAAAGATTATGAGACAGTTGGGGTGCCTGGGGGGCTCAGTCACTTGAGGATCTGACTTGATTTTGGCTCAGGTCATGATCTTACAGTTGTGAGACCAAGCTGCATGTGTCAGATTCCGTGCTGGGGGTGGAGTCTGCTTAAGATAGTCTCTCTCTCTCTCAATCTCTCCTATCTTCTGTCCCTCCCCCGTACTCTCTCAAAAAAAAATTATGAGATAGGTTATAACAAAGAAAATGTGAGGGAATGAGGGAGACAGACTGAAGGATAAGGAAGAGGCAAAAGAGTTAATATAAAGGTCTTTGTAAATATTTACTTACGTCCTTTTGGATTCTGAAACGCAGAAGGCCATACAGATTTTGGCCAACTACAGGCATCTGAAGGAGCAGAGGACTGCTCAGAAGCCGGAGGTTGTTTAGAATTTTCCAAATTCATTAAGGGCAATTCAGGTATTTTCCTGGAAATTGGCTTTAAGAGTTCATCCTGCATTTTTAAAATTTCTCCAACTGGATCAAATTTTTTATATACTCGTTTGATAGGTTTTTTTAAAACACACGACTCTTCAGGACTACAAGTAGCATTGGTCTGGTTTCCTACAGAAGCCTGTGCGGACGAAGAATTAGGGCTAGCTGGTTTAGAACTTAACTTAGAATTCACATCAGCTGTCTTTGTATTACTATTATTTTGACACTCTGTGTCAATAATTAAACAGTCTTCATCTGTATCACTATTGCAAAGAATTACATCTTCACTTCTCACTGCTTCTGGGGTGACAGTCTTTTCCTTTGAATTGTCTGTGTTCTCCAGAACATTTGGTTTTTCAGGGGCATATACTGTATTAGTAGCTAAATCAGTTTTATTAGAGGTTTCAATTTCTGTAGAACTTTCTAACTGTAAGGAATCAGACATTCTCAAGTCACTATCTTGCACCAAAGACTTGTCAGGATTTGATGTGTCACCACATGGTACAAATCCCTGATCATCTTTATTTGTGCACTCTTCAGGGCCACTGTCCATACAGGTCACCAGCTGTTTCTCCTTTTGCAACTGTTCCATCAGAATCTGAGATAAACTTCTAGAATGAGCAGAAGTGTCCGGTGCACGTGATGCCACAGATGTGGTTGCAGTGCTGGGAGCTGTGGGAGTATCTGCTGTGTTGGGTGCTGTGGAAGTGCCTGCTGGACTTGGTGACTTAGATGGTTTGGTGGTGTTTACTCCAAAAGTTTCAAGTTCTGTGACGTCACCATCAAAATCCAGGTCCAAATTTTCAAGGGTCTCAATTTTTCGGCACTCATTAACTTCATAAGACATCTTAAGAAAATATATTGGTTAACTATTAGTAGATATTCCAGGACAGCCCTCACCTATCTCTTAATGCCCCTACCCCCCACATAGATAGTTTATGCTCTTCACAGTCTTTATTTATTTATTTCTGTCTGTCTGTCTGTCTTTATTTTATTTTGAGAGACAGAGACAGAGAGTGAGTGGGGGAGGGTCAAAGAGAGAGGGAGACACAGAATCCGAAGCAGGCTCCAGGCTCTGAGCTGTCAGCACAGAGCCCGACGCGGGGCTCGAAACCTCAGACTGTGAGATCATGACCTGAGCCAAAGTCAGATGCTTAACTGACTAAGCCACCCAGATGCCCCTCTTCATGCTCTTTAAAAGTAGAAGGAAATGTCTAATGGCTTTGAAAGGTTCTTGCTTAAGATGCTGATAAACTACAAGCAACTAATTGATTCAACCTTACTTCCCCAATGATATGTTGATGAAACACGGAAAAATTTGCCAGCTTGTAACAGCAAAGGAAATGGGGAATACTCGTGAACCTGCACATTCCAAAAGGAATTTCCATTAATCACTCACACACACACACACACACACACACACACACACACACACACACACCCCAAATGTGGGGCCAAATAGAAATCTAAAGGATTTTCACTACTTTCCACTGTATACACTGTACTGAGCTGACCAGGAGGAAAGTCTGTTTGCCACTGTGAGGAAGCTGCTTTCTAATGCAGCTGGGGAAGGTTCACCAGCCTCCAATGCATTCCTAACATCAACAGTGACTTTCTACACCTACTCAGAGAAAACAACTCTTAGTAATATGGGCAGGAAATGATTTTATTGTATTCTGGGACATGAACCTATTGAGGTTGTAGTTTTTCATGTCCTGTTTTGGGAATGGAAGAACTATAGACAACTTTAATTTATCTGAGAATAAACTGTCCTCTCCCCAAGCAGCAATAGATCTCTCCTCAACTGTGTCAAAGGACTTTAGATAAATACCATAAAAATCTGGTTTGAAGCTATACATAGCCATACAGTTGAGGATCTGAGAGAGAAATATTCTGACAGTAATCACATAGTAAGAAAGAACAACCTATATAAATTATTCAACCTCTGTGAACCTCAACTTCTTCATCTCTAAATAGTGATGATAGTAGGGTCATCTTGGATTTGTTCTAAGGATTAAATGAGAACTTGTATATAGAAAGTTTCTTACCGTAGTCCCTGGCACATAAGGAGATTCTCAGTAAATAGTAGCTCTTATTAAAATAGGGTACCAGATTTAGTAAAAAAATAAATAAAAGTAAACCATATGCTATTTACACGAGACATTCTTACAGAGAAAGGTTAAAAACAAAACAATGGGACATAACATCAAGAAATTGAGTTAAGAGAAAGCAATACTAAGTACTCGATAAAGCAGAATTCATGGCAAAAAACATTAGCTAGAAAAAGGAATCCTATGTTAAAAAAAGATGAAATCCATTAATAATGGTTTTTGAGATGCCAAATAACTTTAAAATATGGAGTCAAAATTGAAAAATAAAAGGAAAATCCGACAGAAATACAAATGCACTTGGTCAACAATATACTATATCTAAGCAAAAACAGTTGTATAGAAAGTACATATAATATTAAATGAAGAATGTATGAATGACTGAAAACATAAACACAGACTACAAAGATATACCTTTTCCCTCCCAAGAATCCAAGGGGCATTTCCAAAGATGGACTATAAATTAACATACAAAGAAAACATCAATATAGTACAAAGCAGAATCTAAAAAGATCTAACTCTCTGTTTAGAATGAAATAAAATTAGAAATCATTAAGAAAAATGCAAGCCAACAACCATAAACCCAGGCATTTGACATTTAAAACCACTCCCAGTCGTTAGATAAAAGAAGTTAAAATAATTGCGGAATAGTCAAAAAGCAACAAAAAATAGAACACTGGACATTAAAAATCAGAAATATCATTCACAGCCTTTTCAAGATATAGAAAAATAACACTATGATAATCATAATAATAAAGTGAAGAAACTTAATAACTATAAAGCCAAAAAACAATGAACTGGAAAACAATGGTCTCATCTCTAATTGAATAAACTTAGATAAAATTTTAAATTTCATTTATCTGTAAATACTTTGGTATGTAGCTGTAAAAGGATTCTTCTCTAAAACATATCACTAATCCCATCAGTAAAAATTTTATAATTCCTTAATAAAATAGCTAATCACTGTTAAAATTTCCCAGTCCACTAAATGTCTTTTTACAATCGTTTATTGGAATCAGGATCAAGATCCCTACAACTGTATTTGGTTGACTTATCTGTCAATTTTAATTTGTTAAATGCCTCTCCCCCATATTCTGCCAACTTCCAAATCACCAGATATTTATAGAAAAAAAACCGAATCAGTTATCCTATAAAAATTTCTAATTCTGTATTTTAAGTTCTGCATCTTGCTGATGTCATGTAAGACATTCTTCTATCCCTTAAGTTTCCTATTAAAACAACCTCGTAGCTTGATTAGATTCAGGCATAGTTTTTTTTTTTTTTTTTAATTAAAAAAATGTTTATTTTTGAGAGAGAGAAGTCGGGAGCCCACAAGCAGGCACAGCAGGGGAGGGGCAGAGAGTAGGGGAGAGGGAAGCTCAAGCAGGCTCTGCGAGGCAGCACAGAGCCTCACATGGAGCTCCAACTCACCAAACATGAGGTCATGACCTGAGCTGAAATCAGGAGTCAGATGATTAAACGAATGAGTCTCCTAGGTGCCCCTCAGGCAGTTTTTGTTGTTAACTGAATATGGTACTATTGTGTACTTTCTACTTCAATCAGGAGGCTAATAATGTCTGGTTGTCTTTCTTCTTGTGATATTACAACGGATCTATTGAATCATCAAATGTCCTCAACTTTACTATGAAATCCCTCAGTGATCTCATGATTTTAGCAGCCATCATTGATGATCACTGTTTACAAATTTATTTTGAGAGAGAGAGTGAGAAAGAGAAAGAGATGGAGAGAGAGAACCCCAAGCAGGCTTGGTGCTGTCAGCACAGAACTCCGCACTGGGCTCAAACCCACTATCTGTGAGATTGTGACCTAAGCCAAAATCAAGTTGGATGCTCAACTGACTGAGCCACCCAGGTGCCCAGATGATCACTGTTTAGATTCACTACTTCATTAGGAAGTGCGAAATGGTGACAATATTCTATCATTACCCTAAAATACAGTTTGTACTAGAAAGGCAAGACAAATATCTGGTATTTTTTTTTATTATCAGTTTTTAGCATGACTTTATGCACTAACACCCTCCAAAACTATTGCTTTGTTTAAAGTATCATTATGAATTCATGGGTTTTAACATATTTTGTATGTTGCAGCCATTTTTTCATGTCAAACTGACACATCTGGTCAACAGGACACCCGTCACGTGGCCCTGGCATCCTTCCGATACTATTCCAATAGTATTACAGAGCGTTTACTTCTTTGACTGGCATTTACTATCTCTTATATCTCCAAAATTCTTGCTTCCTAATATAAACATAATTACTTCTTTACTTTATCATATTATCTAACATGTTCAAAATCACAAAAGTAGTATCACTACTAAGAACATGGTTACTAGGTGCAGTTTAAGATTTTTTTGGTAGTTCTTTTTGAACTTGGGATATAAATCTTTTGGAATGTATAGTAAAATTAATGAGCTTCAAATCATTTAAAATAATTCACTGAGTAGTTAAACCTCTATCTCGATATACAGTGGATTAATTTGTTTCATTTCAGCTTAGGGTAGCTTTTATAACATTCTAAAAATTTGTTTTATAGACACATAAAACATTTATGACTCAAAAGTCAAAATTGTAAAATAAATTACATTTGAGAAATCTAGTTGATATCTCTGCTTCCTTTACTTTGTCCATCCTTCTCTCACAGTTTTAGGTTTATCTTTATTATGCAAGGTTTTTATTCTTTTTAATATACGCAAGTAAGTTTATGTGTGTATATACTTGTATTTCCCCTTTCATAAATAAAAAGTAGTATACTACACAAAATGTTTTCTTCCTTGCCTTTTTCACTTAACAACAGATCTTAGGTATTACTCTGTAGCTGCTTATGTATAGCTTCTTCATTCCTTTCAATAACTGCATAGAATGCTGCTGAGGACGTACAATTTATTTAGTCAAAACCCTATTAAGGGACATGTGGATTATTTCCAATCTTTTGCTACTACAAACAGTGCTGGAATGAATATCTTGCATATACATTTTGCTCTTTTCCTAGTGTACTTTTTAAAGATTTTATGTTTAAGTAACCTCTACACCCAAAGTGAGGTTCAAATTTATAACCCCAAGATCAAGAGACATATGCTCTACCAACTGAGCCAGCCAGGCGCTGCCCCTCCCTGTGTACTTCTGAGCTACATTTCTAGAACTTAGATTCCTATGACAAAGGATGAACCCATTTCATGTTTTGGGGGTACATCTTTCTTCAGATGACTGTAGCAATGTTATAGCAATTATCTTTTTTTCTTGAATACCTTTGTAAGAGCTTCCATCAACAATCTTCTTCTGTTGCTCATCTTTAAATTGGATGGATTGTACTGTTCCTAAGGGAGGGCAATCCTGTGTCAGGGCAGGCCAGATCAGCTTTCTGAGCTTCGGGGCTCTAAGCTCATGCTCCACTGGTACCACAAAGTATCTATGAATGTATGTATGTATGTGTATAAGTTTGTGTGTTTGTGTGTGTGTGTTCAAATCTTAAGTACATGTTGAAATCTGCTTTCTCTATTCCCCTCTCCCTCAGTTATAGGAAAACTTCTTTCTTTACCCTTAATGTCTTTGTTACGCTTAATATGGACTCTACTACTAGCCTGAACAAAGGGTTTTGTCTTGGAAAGAACTTTACTTGGTTAGATTCTGGAGTTTTTAGGGTCCAGGTTATCCCAGAACTCTCTTAATTTCTTGAGTGCCCCTTGTACTCACCTACAGATTTGGGCCTATCCACATTATTTTCACTTTTGTTTTTCTTCATTCCCTCTTGCATCTTTTACCATGCTCCTTCTGTCTGGGGTTATTTTCCTTGAGCCTGAAGAAAATCCAATAGAGGGAATCTGCTAATAGCAAACTCAGTTTTTATCTGGAAATATCTTTGGGTTTTTTATTTAAGGATATTTTTACAGGTTAGAAAATTTTAGTGTAGGGGTTATTTTAGCACAATATATTGTTCCAGTGTCTTCTGGTTTCCCTTGCTCTTACTGACAAATTACTTGCCAGTCTAACTCTCAGTCCTGTACAGGTAATGTGCCTTTTGTTTTTCTGGTGGTTTTCAAGAGTTTTTTCTTTGTTTCCAACTATTGCCTTGGTCCAGTTATCTCTTTTACATTGAATAGAGGTACACATGTTAAATGGTCTCACTATTTCTTCTATAGTTTTTGCCCTATTCTATTTTCTTTTTGTTGTCTGTATTTTATTATGGATAGTCTTTTCAGACTCATCTTCCAGTTTATCAGTTCTCCTTTCGGCTTCATCCATGTGCTAATACCTACTTACAAAATTCTTAACTCCACTTACTCTATTTTTCAGTTTAAAATATTTTCTTTAGTTCTTTTTCAAATCTACTCTTTTAAAAGTTTCTAGTTCCTCACTGAAAATTTTAAGCCTGGCTTTAGTTTCCTTGAACTCTGTATATTAAACAGAGTTGGCTAATAATTTGTTACTGATAATTGTAGGGTATATTTTTGAGTCTATTTCTTTGGTCATTGTTTCTGATGGTTCTTGCTCACAGTATCTACTCTCCTCATGAGTTCAGTTATCTTTAAATGTGTTCTTGATGTTTTATTTAAAAAGTTAATTGTAGAAATAATTTGAGGCTAAGAATGATATTACGTTTTATTAAGAATTATTTTCATTTGCTCTTACTAGGTGTCTAGAGACACTAGCAATCCAAAAGCATTTGAATCCAAGTTCAAGGCCTGAAAACTCAGACTACAATCTCTGAGAAAGTGAATTTATTTCTAGTTCCCTCTTACTCCTGGGGTGTAGCCCTGTAAGGTTCAAGCTCTTGGTAGAAAACTAAACTCTGACTCTTTCCCCTTCTTTCCCCCCAGTCCTGTGATGCTGCCAAAACATACTTCATTTTTTGCTGCCTCTTCAGAACTGGAAAGTACCATTCAGGGCAAAAATGACTCTGAGTGACAGACTTACCTCTCTGGACTTTGGTCTTCTCTAGTATCTCAGCCCTGTAATTCCTCACTATCTTGTTAGCTCTTTGATGATGTTAAGAAAGAAAATTTTATATTCTGTCCAGCTTTATTAGTTATGATCGGTGATGAGAAAGGTCCAATATACTTGGTTTGTCATCAGAGAAAGTTGTTACTTTTTTTTCCTTCTTAACCTACTTCATATTTCTTCAGAGCACCTGTTACTACCGGACACTCAGCTCACACCAAGTATAAGGTCAATTTTAAAATGTGTAAAAAGAGGGGCACCTGGGTGGCTCTGTCCATTAAACATCTGACTTAGGCTCAGGTTGTGATGTCATAGCTCGTGAGTTTGAACCCCATGTTGGGCTCTGTGCTGACAGCTCAGAGTCTGGATCCCATTTCAGATTCTGTGTCTTCCTCTCTGTCTTCCCCTCCCTGCTCATGCTCTTTCCTTCAAAAATAAACATTAAGCAAATATTTTAAAAATGTATAAAAATAAAACTTAAGAAATGTTGGCGGTGCTTAATGACATTACACCATAAATATAAAACACAAAAGACAAAAGGCCAATACCCTTAAGATAGTATAAGCTCTTAGGTAAAAATAAAGGTATTACTTATACCTTTATTTAGTTATAAAGTAAAAAAAATTTTTTGTTTTCTAATTTTGTTTGGCCTCTCACTTTATTCAGGTTTCTGTTCATATTTCCTGTATTTGGAAAAGCCTTCTTTAGCATCAATTTAAAATAGTCCCATTCTCATCTCTTTCCCCATAACCTACTTTGTTTTTCTGCCTAGTATTTATCACAATCTGCTTGTTTGCTATCCTTTCATTATCTACATCCTCCATCACTAATTTAAGCTGTGAGAAAAAAGACTTTTTATTCAATGCTGTATCCTCAGTGCATAGAAACAGAATGTCTTACTTTAAAAATCATGGAAAAACATTTTTTAATACACAAAACAATAAAAATACTATTTATGGAGTGGCAAGCACTGTCCTAAATGTTTTACATGTATTAACTCATTTAATCCCAAATAATCTTGGGAGTTAGGTACTATCATGAAACCCATTTTACAGATGAGCAAACCAGATACAGAGAGAAATTACAAAGCTTGCCTAAAGTCAAATTGCTAATGAGTATACTGAAAAGAATTAACAATTTGGCCAAATACTCTTCTGCACCAATCAAACTCATCTATTCCTTTTCATACTTAAAATCTTGAATATGAATGAAGCCAGTTAAATAAAACCACTATCATGATTACCACCGCCACTAAGATTTTAGTACATATATACTAAAGACTGTGCTCAGCATTTTACATATAATATCAAACTTAATCCTTGCAACAATCTTGTGAAGTAGGTATTATCATCTCTTCTTTACAAAAGGAGAAAACTTAGGCTGAGGGAAGTTAAGTTAGTTGATTAAAATCTAGCTTGACCTGGGGTTCAATTTCAAGTTTCAATGTAATGCCTGTATTTTTAAATATTAAAGACCTGCAGTAAAACTTTATGTTTCAAAAGGATAAACAAGTACATTTCATAAAAAAAAAAAAAATATAGCAAGCATTACATACATCCATTTCAGACATATAATCTTCTGGTTTGTCCATAAATACTGCAGAAACTGGAACAGATGTGTTTTTGGACATCATGAATTTTAATGGAACTTCATGGTAGATTTGATTTCTCTCTCTCATTGTCATTTTCTTTTGGGGAAGTGGTGAATTAATATAAATTACTTTAACCGGTTTTGAACCTTAAAACAGAAACAGAAGAAAGAGAGTGATTAGTTTCTAATAGTTATATTTAAAACAAACAAACAAACAAACAAACAAAAAGCAGGATATCGGGCAGAAAGATCACCAAACAAAGCAAACTGGATAGGAAAGTGGTAACACATGTCTCATGCATTTGCCATTCTTGAGCTTGTGATCTTTACTGATATGAAGCCGAGAGAATTTGGCTAGAAAAACGTTCTCTAACAAATTTTTAAAAAGATTTTCTGCTTTTTATTGTTATGCTTTTACTGCCATTATTATTCAGTTCTTACAAGACTATACTTCCAAAAAGTGACAGTTTTTACCACAGAGAATACATTACATTTAGCTCTAATCTGTATTTTGCTCATCATAGTTCTGTATTTACTACTATTGTTACATAAAATAATATTAATTTTAGAAGATATTAACTTGATTGTCCAAAGAAAGGCTATCCTATGCTTACAAGTACAGACCTATTTTCATTCTGAATTCCAGTACCAGACATGTAAATAAGTCCTAGAAACTGACCCATTTGAGGCTACCTAATAACTGTTCTGCATACCTTTCATTTCAGTGAAAGACAGAAGAACCACATTATTTCATGTATTTTTGGCTACCCTAATCCGTAATTATTTTTCTCTTTCACAACCCAAAGTGAATACAGGTTCTGTAGACCTAAGAACTCCTGTATGGGTATAAATTCTAAAGTAGCACTATTTAAAGTTCTACTAAATGTAAATGTAAAATTCACATTCTCCTTAAACCAAAACTTAAGGTTTTGTACTTTGACAAATGACCACCTATGTTTAGACAGCTGAAATAGAACTGTTTCAACTCCTCTTCTGAAAGCATTACTTGATATGGCAAATCACAAACCTGCAACAGGTATTACTTGAATACACACTGGAATTTCCCACTGTTCCCTGTAGTTTGGTCCATGGTTATTTAATAAGGTAAATAATGATTGACTAGTTAGAGCTATCTGGGGGTGATATCTTGAAACAAGCTTCTCTGCATTTGGATCTTTACTAATATCCTGAAAAACAAAATACAGCTTGTTACTTGATTATATTTATTGGAAATTTCTTTGATGAAGTGCTAAAAAGAAGAGAGACATTCCAGAAAGGGACTGAAGAACAATAAGATCGTACGTACTTTATGAGGCACAGAAGATTACTTAGGAGAACCCAAAAACACTTTCCTACTTACAGAATGCATAGCTGCAGCTGTTTTTTCTGGTGTTTCAGTGGTAGATATGTTATCTTTTGAGAGCTGCAACTTTGCAGGCATTGAGGGAAATACCGTTTTTACATATTTTACACTGCCCTAAGTAAGAAAAAAGGGAAGGCCTTATTGCAATATCTTAGGTATTTTTCCCCTAAGAAAAGTATCTTTTCATCATATAAACCCCCAACTTAAAATTCTTCACTCTACTTTAGGAACCTTCTCAAAGCCAAGACTTCCATGATTTTGCTGGACAACCTGCATATATAGGTTTTTCTTTTCAAAAAATGTCCAAGACAGGGTGCCATGCAATCTTCCTTGCCACTTCAAATTCTAACCTCTCATGAGGTACAAATAGAACAGAAACTCTAAAATATCCTCTCTACCCATACTTACTTTCAATAATTGTGAATACACGCCTTTAAAAGAAAAAAGGTTATCTTCTTTGTATTTAGGAACATTAAAAAAGATGGGAATGAAGAGAAAATCAAGAAATAAAGCTGGTAGTGATATTTTTAAAAATAACAAGGACTGCTATCCATAAAATAAAAAAGACACATTTGTATTGCATATTTTAAAAGTTGTATCTGATTACTGTTCAAGATTTAAACATAAATATTGTCTATGTGACATACAGGTGATGTTTCAGACAAAAATAAGTTTATACTTTCATTGGTAAACCTTACCAATGCAAGAAGAGTTTTTTCTAACTTTAATCCCATCTCTATTCTGAATGGGAAGAATCCCATTAAGCTGGTGACTTCATGGAGAGTGTAGAACTCTGGATACTTTTTCACTTGTTCAGTGCAAGCTTTCAAAATTTGCTAGGAAATAAAAATTAAGAGACTTTCATTTGTATCATACATCTGTAATAACAGGACAAAAATAATTTAGTTACATGTGACTATATAATTATTCATTGAAAATATTAAGTTCATCTCATTAATGAAACTTTTAATAATCCAACCATAATATATATTCCTTTAAATAATCTCTTATTTTTCACAATTCGTTTTAACCTAATTTCTTAAAAGTTGATATTTAATAATATTAAAATTAGCAAATGTATTCAAATTTAAATTTAAATAGAAAAGATGCATCATATTTTCTGTGCTATTTAACAAACTGTCAAAGAAATAAAGCCACATGAAAATATCAGCACACTTTTCCTCCAATAAAAGCAGTTACATGACTAATTAGAAATAACTAAGTTTAATAAACTAACAATTCCCAAGCACAATGAATTAACAAAGCAGTTATCTTACAGGCCATTATAATCTACAGCCTAAAAAAATAAGTAACCGGGGTGCCTGGATGGCTCATTCAGTTAAGCATCTGACTCTTGATCTCAAGCTCAGGTCATAATCGCACAGTTTATGGGTTCGAGCCTCGCATCAGGCTCTGCACGGAGAGCACAGAACCTGCTTGGGATTCCATCTCTCCTTCTCTCTGCCCCTCCCCACCCCTCTCTCTCAAAATAAAGAAATAAACTTTAAAAAATAAATAACATAAGTTATAACTAATTAAATGATGGAGTATTTTCTTCTCTCTAAACTTTTCAAAATACTAATAACTTACCAGGAAATATAATCAAGAAGGAAATAAAATTTACAGCTTTACTCAAGCAGAATCTATGACGCTTGTGGCAACATGTAAATAACTCAAAGATGCACAGCACTTTTGGGTGGGAGTGGGGTTATAAAAACATGTACATAGAAGTGCCTGGGTGGCTAAGTTGGTTAAGGGTCCAACTTCAGCTCAGATCATGATCTCATGGTTCATGAGTTTGAGCCCCAGACTGAGCTGTCTGCTATCAGGGGAGAGCCCATTTTAGATCCTTTGTCCCCTTCTCTCTCTGCCCCTCTCCTGCTCTCATACATGCGCTCACTCACACACTCTCAAAAATAAATATTTTTTTAAAAACCATAAAACATATGTACATCATCTTTTAAGAAACATATTTTTTCTCCTCCTGTTAACGAACCTAATCTGAACCTTTTAGAATATATTTTACATCATAAGAGTAATTAGCAATAAGTATATCTTTGTCATATCTTTATATCCTCTTTTCCTTCAGACATCTATAAAATGTGTCAAGTTACAAATCAATAACTTTACTCCAGTCTATCTTTTCATTTAGTTTCATATCGCCTTCTACCCTTATTTAATTCTTACTGCTCCATCTTTCAATTTGTCCCTCTCCACCCATGCTTTTCAATGCTGACTTTGGTATTTTCTTCAGGATATACTTGTAACTAAGGCAGATGTGGGTTAATATGGAAAAATTCTGTTTGTTTTTAAAAATCCTAGTCAACTACAAAATCAAATCTGCATAAAATCTTTGTCCTTCATTTATATTAACTTCCATCCCTAACATTCCCATCTTAGAGCAGTCATTATAAGAAGTTGAACATACATGCAAAGGAAAGCAATATAGAAGAACTATATGACACAGAAACTATTCTAGTTGGATAATAGCTGGCACATCTTTTTGGTAAAACTGCTGGATGTTATAGTGCTTTTACAGTTTCACTTAATTCAGTAATTAGGGCAAGAGAAAGAGTCACAGGAAAATCTAACACAGTTTAACTCCTATATGGAGGTTATATTACTATATATTATTGTTGCTGTTGTTGTTATTATTATTATCTGAGAGAGAGAGAGATAGAGACGACAAGCTGGAGAGAGGGACAGAGAAAGAAAATCTTAAGCAGGCTCCATGCTCAGCCTCACATAGGGTTCAATCCCACCATGGGATCATGACCTGAACTGAAATCAAGAGTTGGGCACTTAACAACTGAGACACCCAGGTGCCTCATTTTTTTAAAGCTTTTTTTTTTTTTTTTTTTTTAAGTAATCTCCACACCCAATGTGGGGCTCAAACCTCAAACTCACAATTCTGAGACAAGAATCATATGCTCTTCCAACTGAGCCAGTTGAGGTGTCCCCATTACTATAGATTATTAGAGGTATTTCACAACTGGTAGGCATTAAGCAACTAAAGGATCATTGATACATTTAAGATTTTTAAAAAAAAAATTTTAATGTTTTCTTCATTTCTGAGAGAGAGAGGGAGGGAGGGGGAGAGAGAGAGAGAGAGACAGCATGAGCAGGGGAGGGTCAGAGAGAGAGCGAGATACAGAACCTGATGCAGGCTCTAGGCTCCGAGCTAGCTGTCAACACAGAGCCCGATGCAGGGCTCGAACCGCCATATCATGACCTGAGCCGAAGCCGGACGCTTAACTGATTGAGCCACCCAGGTGCCCTTAAGATGTTTTAACCTAATAATTTATTTGTCTTTGAAAAGCAGCTGTGAGGCTAAGAGATTTAGGCTATTTCCCATCACCCAACCTCTGAATGTTATTTAACACTCAAAATATCTTGAAACTAAATACACCAAAAGCATACACCTGTACACAATACAGATTTATCATTACAAAGAAAAGTGAAAATGACTCGGTTCCCTTATTTTGGGCCAGAAAGGAAGAATGTAGTAACATATATGTTTGAAACTTAAACATTTTATGGACACTACTTCTGGCAGTATGGTAGGGTAGGTACTTTGAAGAGACTTCTACCCAAAACCCACTAGATACTAGATAAATCACAGCTAATAATAGTTTTTAGGCATTACTAGACTTGGTACAAAGCAAAAAAATCTCATGGACCATAAGTAAATAAATAACCTCCAAATGCCTAGAATGAGAAGAAACAGGAGGAGTGAGTAGTAAGAAAATACATGAACACTGAGGTGATCTGAGGGCAAAAGCCTCCTCCTGTGGCAAGATCAGGTGAGGAGCTGAACATGCGACTCTTACACTTAAGTCTTACAAAATAGAGATTTGAACAGATATCTGTCCATCCATGTTCATAGAAGAATTACAACTTCAAAATGGCACAAGTAATCCAAGTGTCCATCAATGGATGAATGGATAAGCTAAATGTCCAAATACTTACAACGGAATATGTATTCAGCCTTAAAAAAAGATGAAGAAACATGCTGTAACATGGGTGAATCCTAAAGACATTACACTGAGTAAAATAAGCCAGTCACTTATATGGGGTTATATGGGGTTGCCTAGAGAAGACCAATTTCAGAGACAGAAAGGAGAATGGTGGTTGCCACAAAGTGGGAGGAAGGGGGAGCTGAGAGTTACTGTTTAATGGATGTGGTAAAATAAGAAATAATAAATACGTATTAAGTCTTTGTCTTGGTTCCTGACACAGGGCACCTAAGACTTCGGAATTTCCTGAGTGATAAGAAGGAATGTCTTTTGCATGCTACTGAGATGACTCATGGTCCCTAGATAACTCTGGGGAGGGAGATATTTGCCAGAAAGACCAAGGCTGATTAGAGGGCTAGAGATCGACCTACTCACCAATAAGCAATAATTTAATCAATCATGCCTAGGAAAAGAAACCTCCATAAAAACTCCTAAACATTGGGGTTCAGAGAGCTCCAAGGTTGGTGAACACATGGAGGTACTGGGAGGGTGGTGTGCCTGGAGAGGGCGCAGAAGCTCTGTTTCTCTTCCTGCGTTTCTTACCAAATGCATCTCTCTCTTCCATTTACAATAAACTAGAGTTAGTAAGTGCTTACCTGAGTTCTGTAGCAAATTACTGAACTAGAGGAAGAGGTCATGGGACCCTAGGTCTACTGTCCAGAGTTGGAGTACTGGTTGGTGTGGGGGAAAAAAAAAATTCACATAGTTGGTATCAGAAGTGTTGTTACAGCAGGAACAGTTCAAAAATAGGTACAGAGTCTCAGTTTTGTAAGATGAAAAGATTTCTGGAGATTGACTGTATAACAATATGAATGTACTTAATACTACTCAACTGTATACTTAAGATAGTAAATTGTGTGTTGTGTGTATTTTATAAGTAAAAATTAATTTTAAAAAAGGGAAGGAATTCTGACACATTCTACAACATGGCTGAATCTTGAAGAAGCAACATTCTAAGTAAAATAAGCCAATCACAAAAGGACAAATACTATATACCTTTGTGAGGTACCTAGAAAATTCAAATGTCAAATTCATAGCACAAAGAAGTAGAATGGTGGTTGCCAGGGACAGGGGAGAAGAGGGAACAATGAATTATTTAAATTATTTAATGGGAACAGAGTTTCAGCTTGGGAAGATGATAAAGTTCTCGAGATGGATGGTAGAATTACAATCACAACAATATATAAAAGCATTTTATGCCATTCAACTATCCTTAAAAATGATTAGAGGCACCTGGGTGGCTCAGGCATTGGTTGGTTAAGTGACTGACTCTTGATTTTGGCTCAGGTCATGATCTCACTGTTCCTGAGTTTGAGCCCCACATTAGGCTCCTGCTTGGGATTCTCTCTCTGCTCTTCTCCCGCTCGCACACACTTGAGTGCATGCACACACTCTCTCTCAAAATTAAAAAAAAAAAAAAAAAAAAAAAAAAGTTAAAATGGTAGCTTTTATGTTATGTATATTTTACCACAGTTAAAATGTGGAGGGGCGGAGGGAGAGAGAAGGAGGGAGGGTGAGAGGAAGAAGGAGAGAGAAAGAAAAATGGAAGACAGACTGGGGTCTGACCTAGGGAATATGGGCACCTCAGAAAGACAGAGTTGAGAAAATGAAGGAGAAGCAATAAATGAAAATGGCTGAGAATTTTTCAGAACCAAAGAAGGACAGGAATCTATAGATACAAGAAACATAATGAACCAACCATGATTTAAACACACATACACTGTAATGAAACTGTAAAACACTGAAAATAAAGAATAGTGGAGAGAGAAAGAGAGATTCCCTAAAGGAACTGACAGAGACAGAATCCCAAGCAGGCTCCA